TGGCGAAACTCAAAAATTGCCTAAACTATGTGCGAAATTCCTAAACTGTGGGCGAAACTCCTAAACTGGCAAACTTATTAATATATTAATATTAGTGTTTAAATTTCTAACTATGCATGTTATGACCTGGGACTGTTAGATAAGCTTTTCTTGCCAATGTCCAACTATAACTTTGTCTGTTTAGTTTTTGTTTTTTAATGGCAGTAGTTGCTCATTTGAAGACGAACTAGCCATGTCTCTTGGTGAAAAGAAAAAAATATTAATTCTTTTATTATTATTACATTATTTTTTACAATAATAATAGTAAAGTCAAAACTAAATTAATAGATTAACATGTTAAAGTTTTGTTATTTATAAATTTTTTAATCATAGGTTTGACAGTTTAGGATTTCGCCCACAGTTTAGACAATTTTGAGTTTCACTACTAGTTTAGGAACCTAAACTCCTAATGTCTGTGGGTGAAACTATTTTGGATTTTCTAAAATCATTTCAGCCATCATCATTAAGCAATCTATACAAGAATACAAATATTCAGTCTGTAACAAGGCACAAAGTGCCAAGTTTAATGCCCAAAGGGCAGAAGTGTTCCATACAAGCATACATATATTAAATCTGTAATAAGGCACAAAATTCCAAGTTAAATGCCCAAAGGGCAGTAGCAATCTATGAGATAAAATTTCTGAAATAAAATGGGTAGGGGGTAAGGTCAAAGTTGGTGTCTGTAACTGTTTTCATATTTTTTGCAATTGCAACCCCTGCAACCTCTACAACTGTCCAACTATAATTATGTGATGACTTAGTATCAAAAATGAAATCATAAAATGATTTATTAAAAAACAATTAAAAGATAATTTATGGTAATCATTTAAAATAATAAATAGTAACAGTAAAAGAAGTGGGGATATTATAGTATATCTATACTATAATATCCCCACTTATTTTAGACTATAACTCCCACTCCCACGTGCGGCCATTTTTTATTTTTTAGCCACCCAGATGGAATCATGGAATTTGTATGTGGCCAATTTTTTGTTTCTGGCCACGTAAAAAAATAGTATTCATATGCATACTGACATTGCATTCACTTGTATGTCATCATTCGATTGCGGGTTGGTGAAGAGTCATTTTCAGCCTCATTCGAGTGAGGTGTGTTTTGCATTTACGTAGCACTTTAGGAAAAGCAATCTCGAAGGCGGGATGTGTCTCAATTCACAATTTCGAACGTGGCCAATTTTCAATTTCTAGCCATGTTGATCAGGTAGTAAAAAATAGTGTAATAAAAAATTTATCTAGCATTGAAATCAACAGTGTCACCAAAAGTCCATCATTATGGACATCAATAGCAATCACTAAAAGTGTAGATAAAAATCTGACTCCACCATGTAGCATCCATATCCATTGTCAACATGTGTTGACGATCACCCATAAGTACCACTCCAGGAAAGGTGTTAATGGCGTTTTTTTCTTGTCACAAGTGTCACAAGTAAAAAAATCAGCTTGTGACAGAACTTGTGACACCTTTCTTGCTCTTTCATTTCTTTATTGATTACTGTCACAAGTGTCACAAGTAAAAATGGGGTAATTTATTAGAAAGAAAATAAAATGAAACCAACTTTGATATATACTATCCCTATAGAAAATAAACATACAGAATGTATAAGAATTTCCCTATATTTGATACGGAATAAATTTTTAGATATGGAATGGACGGACGTATTTAATCTACGTTTTGAAATTTATCAATGTAATGCAATTTATGGATGTATATGGAAAATGTACAGAAAATTGCGAATTTCCGTATATTTTACAATTTTTCCGGAATAATTCTGTATCTTTTACAATAATCATTTCATAGCAATAAAAATTATAATTCATATGGAATTTCCGTATGCAAATTTTTTATAGGGTATATATGATATACCTATAATAAAAAGTGGAAAACGCAAAAAAAATAAAAAATAAAAAGTGGAGTATGTGAAAATAACTTGTGACACTTGTGACAGTAATCAATAAGACTCACTTTCGGGCTTGGAACTTCAAAAATATTATTTCTAGCCAATTTTTTTTCTTGTGACAACTTGTGACACTTGTGACAGTAATCAATAAGACTCACTTTCAGGCTTGGAAGTCTACTTGAGTAGGTAACAGTATAGTGTAAGTAGGTAACAATATATATATATTGTTACCTACTTATGGTAGACTGTTACCTACTTATACGATTGGTTCGTATTTTTGTCGTACTTTGAGGTACGACGAGTTTGCATTTGTGTCGTACTTTTAGTGATCGTTATTGACGTCCATAATGATGGACTTTTGGTGACCTATTGACTTCAATACTAGGACGAGGCACGAAATGCCGATTTTTATGAGTACAAAAATAGTCTAATAAATTACTACAAAAACGTATAAATAGAACCTCTATCCCCCACTTTGGACCAAAAACCAATTCGTAAAAAAAAATACGTATCTCCTATACCACTATAAACAATACATTTCCTAGGCGAATTGCCAACTTTTTCGATTGCGGAGATGGGGCATGAAATGCCGAATTGGCAATCCGTATTTTGGCTTTTTACATTCCATTCGAATTCGAGAATGAGGCACGTAGTGCCGAAACTGTATACTTACCTGGTGTTATCCAAAGGTACAATTTTTATAATATATATTTTGTATTAATTATACTTTTGGCTATCACTTTTTTCTATACCTGAATCGTATCTACTTGGTGATATGCAAAAGCACAATTTTTATAATATATATCTTTCTATAATAATTATACTTTTGGCTATCACCGAAAGTATACTATGTTTTGGAGCTCTAGAAACCTTTCTTGTATAGTTGGTGCTTTTGAGTATCATTTTTTCTTGTCAAAAAATCGACCTATGTTTTGTCGTTTTACTATCAAAAAATTGTTCTTACTTTTACATATCACTTTTGCGTATCACTTTGGATCAAAAAATTCCTAAAAAATCGGATCATTACTGAATCAAAAAATTTGTTTGCACTTTTCGTATCACCATATAAAAATTGGATACATCAAAAATCGGATTATACTTTTGCGTATCACTTTGGATCAAAAAAATTGGATCATACTTTTATGTGCTACCGATTCGAAAAATTTATTCTTACTTTTACGTATCACCATATAAAAAATTGGATCATACTTTTACGTACTACCAAATCAAAAAATTGGATACCTTTGCGTATTACTTTTACGTATTACCATATCAAAAAATTGGGTTGAAAATTTTAATCTTACTTTTGGGTATCACTTTTACGTATTAGTATCAAAAAATTAGATCATACCTTTGCGTATCACTTTTCCGTATAAAAAATTGGATCATACTAATACCTTTGTGTATTACTGGAACGAAAATTTTAATCTTACTTTTATGTATCACCATATCAAATTTTAAATCTTACTTTTGCTATCACTTTTATGTATCAAAAATTTTGATTACTTTTGCGGATCACTATATCGAAAATTTTAATCTTACTTTGCATGCTACTGAATCTAAAAAATCGGATCAATCAGAATCGCGCAACACAAAAATCCCCATGGTACCTTGGTATTATTTTCCTGCAATTATTTTTCGATTTGAATTTTTTCTTATTAATTGTAAGAGGCAACAAAAAATCCCCTTACCTGAGATGAATGGTTAGTTAAATATAGGAATCTCCTGCCAGAGGTATACTACTAAACTAGATCATTGGTACACTGAATTAATTGGTAAATTTTGAGTTGGTATCGGCAACAGATATTGAGTCAAAGAGTTCTTGAATATAATTAGCTGATGATGAAGAGCATTGAACCTCTGGTTCTTCTGGTTTATATGGCGGAAGTATTGGAGTCCCCGCTTTATTGAAACCAGTTCCACCGTATGGTTCACGATCAATCCAATAAGTACGTTTCCACATTCACTGATCTTTTGGTCCTGAAAGTTTTGCTCCACTCTTAACAGTATAACCGCACCAATTTCTCGCTATTGCATTATTTAATTTTACTGTAGCCTTGAGATCAGGAGTTCCCTTAGCCCGAGATTTAAAACCAAAGAGTAATGATGCATCTTCTCGAATTTTAATGATTTTTTCCTGTGATTGCTCAAAAGTTTTAGCTACATCATCACCAGAAAGAATCTTTGTATCATCAATACCACTGAATCCTACTGATTGGAAAAGATCACGTACTGCTTCCCATTGTTTTGCTGAATAAAATTTATGTAAATCGTTTGAGGCTGGATCCATAGAATCTTGTGATTCTTCCCATTGCATTGCTTCTTTGATTTTCAAATTTTCCAAAGCCTTTACTTCATCTGAACCTTGTCTTCGATAATAAGCAAGTCCTCTGAAATGTTTTATAGGTTCAGGATCATTGAATCTTTCTACGAAATTTATGTCACAAAGTTTAATCCAATCATCATTATTCATACCCCAGTTTCGAATATCATCCCTACCTCTGATATCACCTGAAGCATATGTTCTCCATAAATAATGACGTTGTAAAGTCATGTTATCAGCAAAAGAGCGTATAAGATTTTGCTTAAGAATTTCAGCTTCATCGGGACTAATATCTGGAGCATTGGCTATTGATTCTGCATCTGCACCTTTAATTTTTTTCTCAATCTTCTTAAGAGTATGAGAAACTTCTTTCCTGTTAACTTTTTCGGTATCTTCTGCTGAAATTAATTCAAGTGTTGCTCCAGTACTAGTGTCACCGGAATGCGAATTGGACCTTAATTCGCTGATCAATAACCCTGAAAATCCGGAGTGATATTTTATATTTTAT